GCGGTCAAGTCACATGGGTACTGAAAAAGTTAACAAGTTGTGAAAAAGTCATTAGAAACCGGTCCTGGGGTATATAATGGCCGAGCGCGCCCTGACAACCTTAGTTGCGGTTTGCGGTTTCTTCCTTAATAAAAGCATCTAACTTGTTTTCTTTTAAGGTACGTATGTATGTAATTTGTATCATCTTAGTGTTAGTTATATTATTTATAAGTTAACGCAACTTAGCTATTATATTTCGGAATTTAAAATGATATTAATCATTTAATTCTTTTTCAGGATGTTTTGTAAAATTTGTTGCATTATTGTTGTTTCAATTTTTATTGAGTTGCGGTTTCTTCCTAAATAAAAGCATCTAACTATACAACTTGTTTTCTTTTAAGCCAATTTGCAGAGGCCGAAAACAAGGGCAAGCAATCCCTCAGTAGACTAAGCGATTCCCCGCAACAACACAATATACAGCCAAAATAAGACTATAACAATCTGGTGGAGAACTTTTCGATCCCTGGAAAAAACCAAAAATGAACCTCAGGAGCGGAAGACAAACAAACTATTTTAAATAGCAGAGTTTGTCAACACAGTAATTTCTAGAATAATACGGGATGTGTTTATTGCATTCATCTTATAACTTGTTTCGGGACAATAGGAATGTATTGTTGTAGTGGTAGTAATGGTATGCTTATATTTGGCTTAACACCTTGTTACATAAATCAATAACAGTAAATTCCTTAAACTATATGATTTATCTGATTTAATTAAAACTCACAGCTATCAATAATAAATTGATAAATTAATCAAATGACTTTTTAAAAATCAGATTTAAATTCAAAAAAAAATTTATCTTCAATATAAAGGTTATGATATATTATTATAAATGCTTAGAGTATGGGGGATCGTTTCTCGTAACGTTTCTCCTAAACTATGTACAGTGCTCCCTCGGTATATTGCCAACTTTTGTCCAAGACAGATTTTGGCATTAAAGCGAGGGTGGCAATATAACGAGTTCTGTCATAAATTACAATGCAATGAGCCCAGTTCAAGATGAATACGTAATTTATTTTAGTTAAAATCAAATGTCATGCTTTTGCGCGTGTGTACATACATATACACTCAAGCGCAACTTTCATTTCTTCCGGAAAAAAGTCATTAATGTATTTGTTTTTAAAATGAAATGAAAATGTCACAATATTACGACATTTTTCAATTTCCCGCTCTTTCGCTTTCTGTTGATCCTGGGTCGAAGAATTTAACAACCCAATGATAACGGTGTCAATAGCAGTTATAGTCTCTCGGTATACAAAAGTTTTTGAGGTTTATCGTCAATATCATAGATTATTTCACCATCTCAATAATACTAGATCAGTTAAAAAAGTTCGGTAACAGACGAATGGAAAGTCACGTGCCAGGGTACATGTCTAGATCTTCATGAACCTGTTGTAATATACACGTATTCTCATGTTTGCTAGTACCTGAGTACTTTCTCTTCTTAATCTGTTTTGATATTCATCAATCAATCCATTATGTGTCCAACAATTGATGACTGTTTCAGGGGTAACGGAATCCCATGCTATTTTCACGTGCGGAATTATAGTAGTCTAAAAATAGAGATGGGATTTCCTTAGAATTTAGAATTTGGTTTTTTGATCTATGGGGAATAAAATGATTTTTTCATTTATTATGGCCTGGTTCGGTGAAAGCAACAATCGGCGATTTACAGTTAAATAAAATGTACAATTATTTGTTTGGGTTTATTTTAAATTTTCGTTTGTAATCTAAATTTGTACGCTTTCTCTTCCCTGACTTTCCCATTATTGTGATGAAATAATACTTCTATCTTATAAAAACAACACAAAAGAAATTGATAATTTTGAGTTTTATAAAACGATTATCTTTAATTTAGCTGAACTCCTTGTTCAGCCAGTCACGCTTCACCGCAACCACTGTCAAAGCACGGGTGTGACGTCCAAATTACCGACGCGTGCTAGATAATTGGCATTGTTACCAAGGGTTTTCCTTATATAATTTGACCTTTTGTTTCCCCAAACTAGTGGCGGATGGCAATAAGCGGGGGTGGCAATATAACGGGTGTATTAACACAGGGGGAAATCCGTTCTTGGAGAATTCCTGGCAATAAGCGGGGGTGGCAATATAACGGAGGGCAATATACCGAGGTAGCACTGTATACTCGTATATTAGTATATACATGTAACAGACGTAAAGTATTATTTACGGTTGTAAGCTATATTTCTGTTCCTATAACTTTTCGCCGTTGTTTTCCTTGCTCTATCATATATACCCAGTCGACGGAACAGTTTCAACACCGATTCTGCTGTGAACCCTCTACGAACAAACCTCAACAGGTATAGCTGAACAATTCCTCCATGATCCCGACAGTCTGTTTTATCTGTTTTTTAAATTCTTTTCATGTGCCCTTTTGTACTTTTCCTCCAATGGTCGATATGGTCAGCTCTATAACGATACCTAGAGAGTAAGACTGACTGCAGGGTTGTTTCGATTATTTCTCGGCATTTACCCAAGCATTTGACTGGAACCCACTAATCACTGAAATCTCAGATAACGAACAGTGATCATGCTCAAAAGTCGATTCAAACAATACTAATTGTGGGCAGGGCCAACACAGACCTCTGAAACTAGATATGAGATCAGGTGCCATGGAGAAGTAAGCATCTCCAGACGACCGGTCACACCTGTGATCCTGGTTATGATCGGGTAAATAGGAAAAATCCGTGGACAATTCAGTATGAAAATAATGGCCTTGCAATGCATATGAAACATTCAACCTAAGACAGATTATATTTGCAAACAAGGCCATTGTATGTGTATCTTAATCGGACTTTTTTATACGTCACTTCTTCAGGAACAGACATCTTCACTTCTTTGGAAATTTATATGTCAGTACCAATGTAATCTAGTTCTATTAAAACGGATTCAGCCTATGTGTGGGTCAATGTTGTCACTGTAAGGTCACCCATAATTCCTTTTGACCAAGGATTGGCACTGTAAAATCACATATTTTAGTGGTGTCAGTTGTTTTGTGGTTTGAGAAAAAATAGTTTTGTGGGGATTTGATTTATTGATTTCTTGGTTGAAAAGATGTAAAGTTGTTTTATATTATGAATTTTTCCAAAGGTTGGTGCTATTATGTAGGAGTACTTTAATAGGCGCTTCTCTCTCTCTCTCTCTCTTTCTCTCTTTGCTGCCATGGCTCTCATAACCATCCCATAAACAACAAAATAGAAGAGATGTATGGACATTCGGTAACTATTCCTTTCTTGACCTTATGTGGTAGAAGTCCACACTGATGGCAAAAGAGAGAAATTTTGCTCAGTCTGATAGTAGCTGGGACTTGGCTTCCTGTGTATTGAAATTGTCAGGATCTATTCCTTTTGTCAGATCGCTAGAACCATTTGAATAATGCATTTTTGAAACTGCAAGGCCACTATATATTATATATATTTCATGAAAAAAAAACAAGATGTGTTTGTGAAACACTGATGTCCCCGTAATGCAGCTTATGGCGAAGGTTAAATTTTCTCAAATGTAAGTCAAACTACAAGGTCAAGGTCAAGAGATCAAAAATGTTGTTACCCAAAGAAAGGATATACTTGGTAAGTATGAAAGCCCAAGCACCAACTATTCAAAAGATATGGTTAATGTTTTCTAAAAGTGGGTCAAACTCCAAGGTCAAGGTCAAATGGTCAAAATTAATGTACGCAGGGGAAGACCTTGTCATAAATAATGCACATGCAAAATATAAAAGCCCTAGCACCAATTGTTTAAAAAGTTATGGAGAAGGTTAAAGTTTTTCAAAAGTAGGAGTAGGTCAAATCCAAGGTCAAAGTCAAAAGGTCAAAAAAATTTATACCCATGGAAAGGTCTTGTCACGATGAATGCACATGTGAAATATGAAAGCTAAAGAACCAACTGTTCAAAAGTTATGGCCAAGGACAAAGTTGAGTAAATTTTTGCAAAAGTGGGTCAAACCCCAAGGTCAAGAGGTCAAATTTGTTGGTACCCAAAGAAAGGTCTTGTCACAAGGAATACACGTGTGAAATATGTAAGCCATAGCTCCAACCATTCAAAAGTTATGGGCAAGGTTATAATTTTTGCGGACAAACAGACAGACGGACGGACAGGGCAAAAACTTTATACCCCCGAATCTTCGATTACGGGGGCATAAAAATATTAAACGATTCTTATCATTGGATTGTCTTTCTTTTAACTTTCATAATATAGTATGTCCTGTTTTAGGGAAAATCTGATATAAAATTAGTATATGATAATCTACATGTACATGTATTGGGCTAATCTGTTATTGGTTATGATAGGTCATTTATGAGAACAAATGTCAAATGCACATAAGGTTTGAAGCCATATAACATAACTGTGGTCTGGATAATTAAGTCGTAAAAGAAAATTCACTGCAACCAAGAGGCCATTTTATGTTGTGATGATGGTTAAACAATATGAATGTTACAAAATAAACTCATCATATGTCACGGAATGAAATAGCAAAATAAGGGATAACAAACTCGACGCTCTGTAAACCCTGACACATTGATGTAACAATACTTGAGCATTGGGAATAATCTCAACACTTGCTTTTCCTGGCACCAAACGATGTCGTGTTTATAACTGTATCGATCAATTCCTTATAAACTTCATTCTTTCCCCATATACCAATGGCACATTTAACACAATTCATCATTGTTGGATTTTGAAATAAAAATGCTAATGAATCTGTAATCCATAGAACAAGTTGAAATGCAAATAAAGCAAAATCATTTCCGCACCATTTCTCCGTTTTCTGATAACTAAGGATAACCGTTGCAGACGATACCAAAGAGCTCTATTGATTACTTATTGAGATCACTTTATTTATTGGCTCTTCAGAAATTCGATGTCTCCTGTTATGCGATTGGCTGATTGACTTGCAAAATGCATGGCAATACGGTCGATTCTCCCGCATCCCTCCCGAGTACACTTAATTGTCGAACGTGGTTATATGAGCTTGTTGCAGATACAGGCAACAAGCACCATCAGAGAAGAAAAAGTCTGTATTTTCCGTCGTCTCCTGGCGGATAGACGGATAACTCGAGAACGAAAGTGTTTGAAGTTGATGGTTTTCAAGAGACTCTAAACGGTAAGGTCATTGCATTATTTTTCCTAATTGCATTGATGAAAACCACTATCTATCAGAGATGATGGTCAAAGGGCATCATGTGTCATTGGAAAGAACTCATTTTAGAACTTCGTCGAAAATGTTATGTATTATGACTGACTTTATTGGATTGGACCACAGGTGCCGGTAATTACTAAATATGTACATGTAATATTCACAACTTTGATATCGATATGTCTAACCATTATATATTATATAATTCGTGGCATGGCTTGGTAGATAGTACCAAGTTAACTGAACTTTGGTTTAATTGTGATAAAAGGTCATTTTTTTGACAATGTGAATTATTTTATTTTCATGTTCAAAAGAACTCAACACAACTACATTATTTGATCATGTTTATCTAGTTTTTTCGGGATAAAATTGTAATTTTCAAATACATAAGTAATATAAACAAGCCTATAAAAATACACCTGTATGATAAAACAGGTACCAATGTAATAAGTATTTTATGTTGAAAATTAATTACATACTGTCCCCAGCCACTTCCATAAGACAAACAAAACCAGCATACCCTTCCCTAACCTATGTATGTATCACTGATCGATTAAGCAGACCTCTTTCATAGTTTATCTTTAAAGACAATTGGCTGGTCAAGGGCCATATCGTTTTAAATCGGGGAAATTTTTCAATTTCTATTGAAAATATCCCCACTTAATTTGCAGATGCATTTTGTCATAAAAAGAGAGATTCTAACGCATCTTTAATTTATCTTGGGTCTTATCACAGTTGTATGTAATATATTGTGTTTAATATATCCTGAAGTCCTACTTTGAACAAGAGAAATTTATAGTAAAGAAGTTTGTTGACTATAGTTGACTTTTCTCCACCTGAAAAGAAAAAAAATTAATTAGCTGGCTTTTTTGACAATAAAATTACACGTAGCTGGCATCCAGATTCGGTGTTTGTATATAAGCTTTCATGTTACTCTTTAATTCCTTTTTGGGGGATGGGTTGGTGTTAATTTTGGCTTTGTATCCTTGCACAAATACAAAATGCAGATGAAGTATCGGAGGTTTATAATTCTACTGATTCAGTGAATCTGCTTTTTGGTTCCTTTTTGGCTTTTGTTTTTGAAAAAAAATCCCAAACACATCTTGAATGATTTCACACTTTCATCTGCCGAGGTTTTCCTGCTTTTTGGCTGAACAGAAATATGAATCCGCAATATGAAAATTCCAATTTTATAATCGGTAAATAAGGTAAAGCTTCTCGAAAAGACCCAAGAAATGGCGATCGAAGAAACTATGGTTGCAGCTAGATCATTAAAAAAATCATGACATAAATCGACGCAATCAATTCATTCATCCATCCATCAATCAATCAATCAATTAAAAACAGAAGCTATGGATTGTGCTATTTATATGGTAAAAACCCAATGGCTGACCTCCTGTCTCTGATTAGCTGACCGTCTGTTTATCTGTGTATTCGGTCCAAAAAAGTTAGCTTAATAAAGTAGAGAAAAAAATAACCTTTAAACTTCTTAAATGTTCGTGATAAGTAAAGGTTTCACATTCTTGTAAAAAAGATTTAGTGGAGTTTGGATAAAAATTTACGGAGCAGAGCTTTCATAAACACATCTAATTGACTCAAGTTATTTTCCAAATGATGTTTATTTCAATTATATCTAAAATACATTGTTAAAATCAAATTGAAATGAGACAGTCACCACTGTAATAAACATCCTCAACAACCACTTAGAATTGATTATAAATTATACTGCAATCTTTACAATTACATTTCAATTCTAAGAGTTGGTTGCCTTGGGGTTTTAGTGACTGTTGTTTAAACTTTAAAGGACGCTAATTCAGAGCCGTCCAATGAGGACTTCTGTAGGTTAAATCTTTATTATTGACTGTGGGAGTCTGCGAATGCCAATTTTGGTAAAATAACGTTAAAATAGACATTTAGCACCTCAGAACTATTAAATTTGATGTGAATTCGATGCGAAAATAATACCAGGCTTATTTCTAAAATCGAATCGCCATCTTTTGATTATATCTTGATGTTTGAAATTTTGATTGGGGAAAAAGTTGATATCTGAAATACGTCTGCAATATTGGAAAACGTATGAAAAAATTGCAAGAATTTTTTTGCTTTCGAAATTGCTAAGTTCTACCAGCTTGAGTCGTTAAGAGATATTTATATAGATTTGCTATATGCATAAATGTTGTAGTGAGATAAATTCCCATTTAAGGTTTGGAGTAACTCAAACAGGATGAAGCACGGTGGATGAAGATGTTATAGTCATGGACGTATAATCCCTCTTATCGTTTTAGGATATAAAAAAAGTATATATTTATGAGCGATTGAGATAGTTAGGGAACACATGTAGGTCAGACACGTGTTGTTTTTATGATCGGTAATCTATTTTCAGACCTTTGATCAAACATACACGTATTATAAAACGTCATCAATAATTCATACATATATGACGCAAGAGAGGCGGTGTGCCCTGTGCCAAAATAGCCTCGATAACAAGTTAATATTGATCAGTACCTGTCAATATCAGGAAACTCATGCTTATCAGAGGAAAGGGGCGGGCGGTGTGGAGATTCAATCTCTGGAAATCTGAGACGTTTAGAGTTTATCAAAATGAAACCACTAGGTAGAAATCAAATCACCTTTAACTCTCAGATCTCTGCTGACAATGCTTGTACGTTCTTTTTAAAACATAAATGATGCATTACTTGTTTAAGTTATTTCTAAGATCATTGCACAAAGCCCTAAACTATGATTGAAAAACTTCAACTTACATCTTAAACCTTTTTAAAAGAGATAAAAAGATTTTAAAACCCCTGGGGTTTTTTAAATTTTTTTTTTAAGAATTTCATTAATGGAGGGCTACATTTTTGTTTATTGATTTAGTTTGTATTGAGTTTATTTTCTCTATATTTAAAATCCAATTATGTTTGTTTTTGCATTTCTTTGAGGAGACAAACAAGATAACATTTGTTGTATTTGTAAATACGAAAATGTAAAAGGTCGGAAAATTTCAGTGAAGCGCGAATCATATATATATATATATATATATATATATATATATATATATATATATATATATATATATATATATATATATATATATATATATATGTAGTTGTTTTTTTGGTAAAATCTAATTTTGTCTAAATACAATAAACTTTTGACGGAGATGATGCGATCCTAAGAAGAATTCTTGTGTATTAAACCTTGTTAACCTTTGAGTCATGGATGGTGCAGTCCTGAACAGAATTCTTGTTTATATTTAACCTTGTTAACCTTTAAGGGATAGTGCAGTCCTGAACAGAATAAAATCAAAGAGAATCATTTGCCATTTACGATTATGTAAACGGATCCTTGTCTTATATATCTTTGTGATTGAATTTTCATCATTTATTGATGGCAGGGAACTTGATCCTTCTGCTGATTATTCTTCAGACTTTAACCCCTCTCTGTTCCTGACGGAATACGATCAGCAGATTTAAAGGCTTACTGTTCTAGGAAATCTAACCCGCATCCGGTATGGATTGAATGTGTCCTATGTAAAAAAATCAATTAGTTGTCAGCAAAACCAGGGAAGGTACTTAGGAAAACAATTGGAGAAATGAATATCTGTCAGGTGTGGTACGCAATTGAACCTAGTTATATCAACAAAATATTAGATATAGTGTTATCTACTGATTTATCTTACAAAGGATGGACTAAAAAATATATTCCATCTACATGTAGTTTAAAGAAGAACATCTGCACCAACCTGAAAAAAAAATAATGATTAAAAAATTCTAAAAGATATGGATTAAATTCCTTTCTTTTGAATAAATATTTTCCTTCTTCAAAATGAATGAATGAAATAATACGGAGATAATGAACAGTAATTAACCTCAAAATTCCATTGAAACAATACAAGTCGGGGGCAGTGAAAACTCTGACCTCTATAAACGTCAGAGATCGGATCAGGTATCATGGAGGAGTAAGCATTCCCTGTCGACCGGTCACAACCACCGTGTGCTCATTGTCATTTTCAGGCAAACGAAAAAATTCGTAGAAAATTCTGTGCTTATATAATGGCCTCACAATTACTAGTAGTATGAAAAACTTCAGTCAGCATTCGACTTAATGATAGATTGTATTTGCTGACAAGGTCATTGTATCGACCATAGAACTTGCCAAATTATGACTTTAAACGAGACTTTTGATATTCTTGGTTCATCAACTTGTTTGTAAATAGCGTGCGAAACGAAATTGTTAGCAAGTAGAGCATGCTCTTGCATATCGAATCAACTGTGAGATATAAACCCCATATGCAGATGATAAGGGTATATTGCTACATACGAGTAAGTAAGGGAAGTTTAAGATAGAAAAGTTGAGGACATCACGTTTATCATAAAGTTTTGTTTTGGGATTACCATTGACGTCTTTTTCTAGTAAAATATCCAAATATGAAACAGATGTGTCATACTCTGTGGTATCTTTTATTTCAAGTTCACATGGATATGTCGAGTCAACATATGAATGAAAGTAACTATTGTTAATTGATAATACGTTGTCGATATATTGAAATGTGGAGTTGAAGGCCACAGCAAGTGTCTACTTTTCATGTGTAAGTTTCTGAATAAATTCTGCATCACATGATTACAAAAATAGGTCTGCTTATAACGGGTCGCAATTTTACCCATGGGAATTCCGACAGATTGTTGGAAGACCTGATCTCCAAGAACTACATAGATATCGTCAATTAGAAACTCAAGCATTTTCTCAAATATCTACAATTTAAGTTTCAGAGTTGTAATTAATTTTTTGCTTCGTTCAATATTCAAAAATGGAGAAAACTGAGACAAAAATATAGCAAAAATATGCTTATGAAGCATGCGCGTGAAAACACTGAAATATATGAAAGCAGACCGTGCTTTTCAAACGTAAGCACACATGCAATGATCTGAAGCTGTGCAGCAAAATTGATACAATGAATACCGGGAATAGTGTATATACTGCATTCATATTTGTTTCATTTGGTGGTGACTTATATCAAATCAACTGTGATTGAACCTATACAAAAGTTTATTTCTCTTTGTCGATACACTTTCGTTTGCTAATGTACACAATACATATACAGAAGCCCAAAAGTTGTTTTACACAGTTTTTGATATATATTTTTCTTTTTTCCTTTTGAATTTCTTTGTTTAGGCAATCGTTGATCTCGAATTTATCTTTGGCATAATTGTATTAACCAGTGACATAAGTTTTTTCTTCTTTCAAATCTACTATTGACTTAGCTGTAGTTTTAACCAGTGACATAAGTTTCTTCTTTTTTAAAATCTACTATTGACGTAGCTGTACACAAATCCGAATGTCTTAGCATGAGATATGTACTTTTCAGTTATCGGTACTTTAAGTCTTGGCCTTAATTTCTTGTTTGCAATTCTTCATGCGGTTGACGTGCTTTAATTCTCTGTAATCCTATGTTTTTTATATTCTACTTTTTGAATGATAGACATGTATAACTATGACGTTACTCAGAAGTTACCCGCTGCTCTAAGACTATACTCTATTTGCGTCATTGTTCTTGACGTCAGTACTTTGGCAACTGATCCACCATAACTATTGATAACTATTGACGTCACTTTTCATATTCTACATTTCATATGAACTCTTGGTGGCCGTTAAAGCTGTACATTTTCTGTAGGTTACCCATGCCATCGACTCCAGAATTCAATTCTGATCTCTGGGTTTTGGTTTCCAGCTTCTTGTCATCAATAAAAATGCGTCTCCAGTTTCTTGTTGAAATCAGTGGTTTTTGTGTCCCATTATAAGCCCTCATATTAATCTTCTCTAGACTGGATCTTGTTTCACACCAATATTATCCTCTGATTTGCTCTGCATGAAAAGCTAATCATATTTCAGAGAGAGTGTGAGAAAAATGCGGGCAGATGATTTTTTCAATCATGAATTCTTAAAGCTTACTGTTATACAATAATTCATTTTAATATGTGTAAACATTTTAATCTGGTTTTTTAATAAATAAATGAATACGACCAGGTGCTGACCAGTACTTTGTGAATCACCATTTAGGCAAGGTTATTGGTACAGTGTGTATCCAGAAATAAGACCAAAATGATTATTTGATGGATTTTCGGGGGTAGGGGTGGTATAGACTCAATGTCCATAAATTCCTGTAAATCATTCCTAATTATTACTTAATGGTCAATGTCAATTCAAATGAAAAAAAAATGTTTTCAAGGCAAGGAAATAACAATTATGAAATGTATATCAAATGAAAGCAGTCGCTGGCCCTCCAATGAAATAACTGATTAAAAATAAAACGAGAATGGGAAAGTAGAGCCTTTATAGGACCATCAATGCATGCTTAACTCTCCTTCAGTAATTTCATTAATTTTCTTATTAAATATTTATCCAATGGCCTTGTGATGTCTAGTTGTTATGGCATCAGCGATGATTTCCTATTCTATCTATGGCATGTCAAACGTTGCAATATTCGATCTTTTCCATTTGTATTGTATAACTTTCCATTTGTATTGTATAATTTTTATTTGTATTGTATAATTTTTCATTTGTATTGTAGAATTTTTCATTTGTATTGTATAATTTTCAATTTGTATTGTATAATTTTTATTTGTATTCTATAATTTTCCATTTGGATTTTATAATTTTCCATTTGGATTGTATAATGTTTATTTGTATTCTATATTTTCCATTTGTGTTGTAAAAAAAATCATTTGTATTGTATAATTTTTCATTTGTATTCTATATTTTCCATTTGCATTGTATAATTTCTTATTTGTATTGTATAATTTCTTATTTGTATGCGATAATTTTTCATTTGTATTGTATCCGAGGATTGTTTATTTATTTCGTTACGAAGGATGTCATTGGTCATAAAATCTAGTCTGTATAAAGGTCTCAGGTGCCCATCACAAACTTAGTCTGGTACCCTTCCCACAATTCCGATCGCGCACTCTCTACAAACACAAACTCGGCTCCTCTATTTGAGGTGCATGCTAAGGGACGACCATTTGATTCTCGGGGGGGGGGGGGGTGTCGAATCCGATTATTTATTTTCATTCTCTCGCAGGAGAGAATATTTATTTCCAATATGACCAGAGACAAGGAGAAAAACAAAAAGAAGAAAATCCGCCCAAACCCCAAAACTCAGTTTTTTGGGGGTGGGGGTAGTTACCACCACTCAAGGTCAATTTATTTATTTTCTCAGTCAGCATTCCTAAGGACAGATTATTTATTTGCCATCTACCAGCGCTCCCTTTTTAGAATCCAATGACCGTCTAACATGCACGAAATATGGCTGAAATATTGCCGACTCGGCGTTAAACAATAATCAATCAATCAATCAAGCAAATACATATGAGCCCAGTTTGCTTTGAGCATCCGGAACATCTTCAACCCGATACAGGCTGAAACTTGACCAATGAAATCCTTCGTAACGAAACAAATAAACAGTCCGCGGATACATTACAAATGAAAAATTATCGCATACAAATAAGAAATTTTACAATACAAATAAGAAATTATACAATGCAAATGGAAAATTATACAATACAAATAAAAATTATACAATACAAATGAAAATTATACAATACAAATAGAAAATTATAGAATACAAATAAAAATTATACAATACAAATGAAAATTTTTACAATACAAATAGAGAATTATACAATACAAATAAAAATTATACAATGCAAATGGAAAATTATACAATGCAAATGCAAAAGGTCGAATATTGCAACGTTTGACATGCCATATCTATCGTACATGTATAAAATATGGGATATTGAACTCGGCGTACTCCTTTAAGCGCACTTGTTATCTTAAAAAAAGAACATTTATGAATTTTTATAAATATTAATTCTTTAAAACTTGTTAAGTTTCCTTTTTCTGTAACTCAATTCGTATTCTATTTATATACAACAAAGGTTGAACAGCAGACTACAAGTGATAGTTGTCTTTGGACTAGACATATTCTCCAGAGTACATTGAATGGCTTGAACGACTTCAGTTTCTTCTCTTATTTGACCCTTACTGAGTATTCATTAAAAGCATACCTAAAGTATTGAAAGACATTAGTGAAATAAATTAAACTTTTTTGCTGGGGAAAATTGCAAACAAGTATGGTGAAGAATATTGATTAAAAATGTTGTTAATTTTTTTTTGTTTTTGTTTTTTTTTTTTTTTTTGTTTTTTCACATTTCACATTCAGCTGTTGATGATAGATTCCTTTAAAATGAATTGTGATTCTAAACGAATTATTTTATATTTGTCTAGGAGAACTTTATAATAACATGGAAACCACAAAGCGGAGCATCCTCAAAACATAAATTAATTGCAAAAAATGAAACCTTATGTTCGATAGATATTAATCTTGATACCAAGACAAAAACCTTCTGTCGCAACCTTGCATTTCGGCATCAAGTAATTATGATCACCTGGCAATCTTAAAGTTGTGTTCTTACACCTGTAAACACTCATGACTCCGATATTTAGATCCTGAATTCAAAAGATTTTCTCTTCTGACCTGGTATTTCTGTAGCAAGAATGAGAGTGCAAACACAAATTTACTCATTATATATTGTTTTCATAACGTTATTGGTCGTGAGGTCCGGGTTCGATTCTCGTTCGCCTCGCCGCGTCAGACCTAAGACGTATACACTGTTCCTTTGCCATGCGCCCGGCAAGAGAAGTAAAAGTCACGGGTCTTTCGGATGATACCTTGAAAACCGAGGTCCTGTGTCACGGTAGGCGTTGGCACGATAAAGAAACCTCACTGCTCAATGGCTTTGAGTGCCGAGTATAGGTCTGAATTTGAAGCCCTTCTCCAATATATGGTGACCGTTCTATATGAGTGAAAAATTCTCGAATGAGACGTGAAACAACATCCAATCAATCAATCAATGATAACTTTATTAATAGGTCATTTCCAAATAGTTTTCGTTTTGAATTCTTTTCCAGGATAAGCTTCGTTGAACATTTACTGGATCCTCCAATGTATCTTTGTAAGGATCTTATGAAGCTGTGGAATCTATTACAGGTAAAATGAAATGTGATTTGAAGAATTGCATCCTTTAATAGGGAACTTTGCGTTGAATTACCGGATGTGGAATTAAAACCATCTTCTGATGCAGTTGTAATAATGAACCTTACAACAACTGCCATATTGTTACAAGCTTTGTCAGCTGGAACTATAACATATTGTTCATATGTAGTCTCATTTTTTAATTACTTCTATTTCACTGAAAACGAAATGATAGATGCATTTTACCTTTTTATAATCATCTAATTCGATTCTTTAATGTACATCCTAAACTCTGTATCTATTCTGACAAATGTCTTGATCTTCCTATTTATGTTTTTTGATTTTATTTAACCATTTGCTTATATATTCATATTTACTAGGTCCTATCTTACTTACTTTGATGTAAATTGAGCTGTTTCACAGATTTTTTTGTAATTGCATAAAAATGTTTACTCAAATTACGAAATATAACCATCGACTTCTCTTACAAATACACGTAAAAAATACATTATTTGAGCCAACGCAGCTAGTCAAACAAGGTTTGGTAATTTTTTAAAAGAAATTTTGAACCGGTCAATAATAATTTCCTTTTGAAATCAAGCATTACAAATACAGCTAGTATTAATGATTGGTCAATAATTCACGTGATTTTTATCCAGGATGTGCGTCAACGCATCGGTCCTGACGAAAACATTCTCGTTACGCAATGACGGTTACAGTAATTGAGTGTTGTATATCTTTCGTTGCAGACTAACTTGCGTAAGTTTCTACATTCTTGTAGATTGGGATGGGAGGGGAGTATTTAATAAAATGATGTTGTTCATTGCATACATATTTATCATGGGAATATTAATAAAGTGGCTTTTGTATCTTGGAACACGAATCATTTTATTTACCACACACATACCCATTTGTCATTCCTATAGCTAGTTTGGTCTACACTCATACGTACATTGTCTTGCATACCCATATACAAATGAATATTGTGTCCTTATATTTTTGGATGTGGATCCAGCAAAATTGCCATGAAAACTTTTTAGAGAGAGAGAGTGCGTGTGTGTGTGAGGGTGAGTGGGTGTGTGTGTGTTTGTATCCCCGGACACGAAATGAATATCTTTGGGAACGGAAAAATCAATAACACATTTCCTTCTAAAACAAATATTCTCTTTTTATGAGATAAGAAAAATCAGACATTCTTAAAAATGTCAGTTTGAAGTACACATAGGGAATACTTTATCGATAAATATCTTGTCACCATGCTTTATATGTCTTGTTACAGTACCCTGATCAGAGAGAGATCAAAGTCCTTTGAAGACATTTGATATTTGGTTTTATTTTTCCTCTTGAAATACCTTGCCAAATTCATAAAACATTAATTTCGTTACTTGACCGAATTCATTCAAAATTTTAAGAAACAGAATAAAAAGTTCCCGAATTTCATTTTTATTAAAAATTGTGACGTTTAAAGCAGTTTTAGAAATTGTAAAGAAAATAGTTTGTTCCTTTCTTATGGTGGAATATTGTACCTTATTCTTTTAACGGAATTTTTCAACTGAAAACAAACATACACGGAAACGTAAAATATGACTGAAACTGCGTACTTGTTCATTAAATGGTTATTGTCCTTTTATGTTAATTTCTTTCTTCCGGAAACATTCAATGTCTCTATCAAATGGTTCTCAAAATAATGAGTAAAACGAAGCTGTCTCATGTCTGTCCAGATTTATTGTATGTAAGACAGTAGTTCTCACTTTTTTCTTATTGATTAACAATAAAACTCAGAAGAAGAGCTTTTTTTGCCACGGAGAAGGAATTATTTGCCTGATTGCCGTGGTCCCCCGTGGCAGATAATTTCTTAATACTCCCCATCATTATTGTCAAGGGAAGAGTGGGGTCTATTCATTATTTGACACCGAATGCGGTTCTTTGCCTGGTAAATAAAATTACAGTAAAAGGTATCAATATAATTGATTGTATTGAGGTTTTCTTTGTCTCATACTTGAAAGATGCATTTGATATGAAAATAAATTTTGTACCCAGTATCACTCGGGTGTCTATGTATTAACAGGAATGAAAATATTTAAGGAATGAATATAATAGCTACCCAAGTTATACTATATGACCTGGATTGGGGCAGTTTACGCTTTATAAATCGCGAGGCGGTTTATAAAAAAGCGTAAACTGTTGGTATTTCTTATATCACTTATCCTTTAACACCCAATAACAAAATTAAAAAAAAAAAAAAAGAGCCGAGAAATTATTTTTAATTCAATCCAAGATTCTTAAGTCTTCTTAATTTTATTATGCCGTCGTGTTTTTTTTTTGGATAAAAAATCCAATATCCAGAGTAAAGTCGGTCAAGAACTTAACTACAAAGAAATAACCTTCAAGTTCCGTGACTTTTTGACCAATGACTTATAAGAAGCAATCAAATACTACTAAATATGTTACAATACTTCTTTTGATAGCATATAAATCGTAACTAAAAACCAAACTTGCATTTTTGTTCTTGTGTGCGGTCAATCCAAGCATGAAACAATCGCTATTCCTTGCAGACAAATGACATTAAAAAAACTTACACACATAAGACACGAAGTACAGTGGTAAATAATGCTTGATAATGCTTTCATTTTTCTACCTCTAAAGTTTCTAATTATGTTAACAAGCAAGATGTTTAAACATGCAATTTATTTATGTTACCACGCAACTTAAATTTACAAAATAGCATTTTAAAATATATATCCTTTAAAAAAGAGCGAATTGAATTGTGCTAAGATGTGACATCTTAATTGCAAGATGTGTCATAATGCAAGATAATTAAGTGAACGTGAAAGCTATTTATATTAACGTGCAGAATAGATTTGTCGGTATCAAGTTACATGAATGTATATTGTCGTGCAGCTTATCTGTGTTGATAAGCAACTTAAATTACGTCGACATGCAACTAAAATTTGTAAACATGCTAGAGAACTATGTGAAAATCCCAGATATAATCGATATTCAATGCTTTTTGGAGAAAACTGGCAAACAAGGTGAAAATATGTCACAATATTTGTGAAATTTAAATATGTCATCACTGTGTTTTTAAAGTTCATTAATTAGCCAACAATTAAGAATATCAACATATATGTATGTACAATGTGTAATGCAGCATTTTAACCCGCTCATTTTTTTTTTCTATTTCTTATTGTGATGTATTATGTTGCCCAAGAAAACCATGAAGTATTTTGCATGTTGACATAATCATCCTACATATGAAAGAATAACTTTTATGTTGACGCAAAGTTCAAGTTGGCATAGTTCTCCAGCATGTCAACATTAAGTACTTGTTCGTCAACACATTTATATAAATCCCATGTGAACTGTCTTTTTTACCTTGTACGTTGATAATTATCAAGTTAGCAAATTCTTTGCATTTTGCGTGTAAGATATCACATCTAGATACAGTATGTTCATTTTCAACAAAAATATGTCTTTTGATATTATTTTTTATTTTTCATTACTCTCGTGTGTGTTAATAAAATTCGTTAAAAGTTAACTTGCATGTAGGGGGAAAAAACTTCTTCTTTCAGTATACTATAAAATCACATATTTTTGTGGGGTCAAATTTTCGAGGTATGAGGAAAAAATATGGGTTTAATGAGAAATTGATTTCATGGATGAAGAATTGATGCGTAGATATATAAATGGAATTTACATTTCGTTATGGTAATGAATTTGTGGGTTTCTTTCTACCTCGAAAACAACGACCCCCCCCCCCCCCCCCACGAAAATGAGTGATTTCACAGTAGTAAATTTGTTTTTATTTTTTGTGTGTGCCACAAAAACATCATAGTTAAAATGAGTGTATTAAGTGTATCCCTTGACAGTCTCTAATATTTTCTTCCAAATTCTTAACAAAATTTTTGTTCTTCCGTTCTGTCCAATCTTATTTTTATCTAAACGTATTCAAGTACCCCCCCCCCCCCTCCATTCCGGATAACATTTTGTCGGGTTGCTGTTTATTCAACTAATAGCAATAATATTATTGTTCTTAATTATGCAACTACTTTGGTTCCTATTCAGTTTCTCAGAAAACTTGCTATTCGATTACCACCAAACATGGGGGTGTCCTTATTGGAACATTAGTGTTAACACAATTGAAAGAAAAACAAAGAATAGGTTATACCAATATCAAGACAATCAATATAAAAGTACATTTCAAACAAGGTCAATTTTGTCCATACTATAAGTATATATACATTAATATACTATTACTGTTAGCAAAGAGACTGTACTTGTTTACAGTCAAAACATGTCTAAGAATTCATATTTCCGATAATCAAAGAGGTGTTTATTGAAGTTTAAGAGTCCTGAGTGTCGTGATAAGCTCATATATCTTGGTGCTGATATCACCTAAGTATTTCCCCATTATCTCATGTTTATCGACTAACTGACAGTTCACTGACTTGTACTTCTTTGATTCCATACAAAACACATGTATGTTCACGATATCAAGTAATTACGCTGTATGGACTCACGAAAGCAAGCCATCAGTTCTGGATCCTAAATATTCTCAGAAACGGAAAGGGAAAAAATCGATAGAATCCGAACAGAAATGTTGGGGAAATGTATTCTTGTAATGACTTAAACATCTTTCTTTAGACTACGGAATAGTTGCATGAAGATTACTGATCCATTTACTTGTAATTAAGAGTCCACATTATGGATGTTTGCATGTCTGACTACCTAATTTTCTATACAAAACCCTTCCTTTGAGATAATTTTGAATCTGCAAGACGGACAGCGAAAACTTCTTATAAAATAAAAGTGAATGTCTTTATATAAGGTAAAGATCGATGTCACATAAAGATTAAAAAAAATCAAATAATGATATAGGGACAAATAACAACAGCAGTTTGATTCTTCACCACATTAAAATTGATTTCATTTTTGGGGGGGGGGGGGTGTGATTTTAGTTTTAATTATTTTGATTTTTTTCCTCAGATTTAAATTCATTGATCGACTTTTTATAT